AATCTAGTCAGGGTCATCTCTGATAACGTCCAAGCTCTGGCCCTTTCTCAGGTTCTCAGCAGCCTTCCCTTTTAGTCTCAGGGCTCACTGAGGCTCTTGCGCTTCCTCATTCTCCTTTGCTGGCTTCTTCCACTCTTCTCAGCCTCCACCTTAGGCCTGCCCTCCCTTGGAGATTTTATTCTCAGCTTTAAATACTGGCCACTCTCTGGAGAGGTCTATCTCTTGACCCAACCATCTTGAGCTGAGTCTCCCACCAACAGCTTCCTCTGCACACTGGCTCAGCAACTGCCCAGTGTCTCTGCTCTTGTTCAGCCCACTTTCTGGATGCCTTCTGGGGTCACAAAGGCTTCTGCTCACCTAGAGGTCCCTCTCTTTCTCTTCCATGTCTTCTAAACACATCCCAAATCCTGCTGCTTGTACATGGACATTAATTTTCATTCAGGTGGCTGGAGCACCCCTGTCCTATAGACTGTCCTCTGGGGGGAACCCCAACACCCTAGCCCATGGCCCAGTCTCAACTTCCCAACACTTTCCAACTCCCCAGCCACAATCTGTCCTCTAAGGACCCCAATTCCCAATTCCACTGTCCATCCTCTAGGAATGCCCCCCCAGTATCACAGCCCCTAGTCCATCCTCTGAGGGGAACCTCCCCAACATCCTAACCCATGGACAAACCTCTGGAAATACCCTCTCCAGGACCCTAGCCTGTGGCGGCTCTTCTTTTGAACTCAGTCTTGGCCTGGCCTCGCCCCAAAGAGCTCCATATGCCTGACATGCAAAGAGATGCCTGGGGCTCACCCCTAAAGACTCCACAGAGAAGGGCCTGCCCTGAGCACTGGGATGAGCTCAGACTGCAACAGACATCTGCAGTCAACAGGGGGAGGGCTGCACCCCTGAGCCCCTGGGTGCAGCTGTGTCCTGAGCAGGGGCAGAGGACACAGCAGGGCCCAGCTGGGGTGGGAAAGCCACCATGTGAGGTCTGAGTGGTAACAAAGAGGCTATGGCCCTCTGCCAGCCAGGCCTCCACCATGGCTGAGCCCAGGCCTTTCCTTCTAAACAAGATTCATACCAAATTGACCAAATTGCCACCAACTTTTAGGAAAAAAAGTAGATATTGTGGCGACATTTTTTTTTCTTTTTAATGTTTTATTTATTTCTGAGAGAGAGAGAGCATGAGTAGGAGAGGGTCAGAGAGAGAGGGAGACACAGAATCTGAAACAGGCTCCAGGCTCTGAGCTGGCAGTCAGCACAGAGCCTGACGTGGGGTTCAAACCCACAAACTGTGAGATCATGACCTGAGCCGAAGTCAGACACTTAACCGACTGAGCTACCCAGGCGCCCCTGTGGTTGACACTTCTAACCCCATGGAATGTTCCTATCTTCACATCTGGCTCTTGCAGCTACTGGGTCTGCTCTGCTTCCTCTACCTCTGGCTCTGCTTCCCTCCCCATGAGCCTTGTAGCAGTACTTCCCCATCCCTCCAGGTCCTACAAGGACCTGCCCACCTAGGCCCCTCCTGCTAAGGGCTTGTCCTGCCACAGACTTGACACCCAGCCCATACCTTGCCTGGAGACACAGCTGAAGTTCACCAATGCTGCTTCAGGTTGTGCTGTTTGGCCTTTCTGCTTCTCCCATAGATGTGCCTGTGACATAGTGGAAGGGCTCATTTGTGGGCATGGAAGGATTTGCTGGCATTTGTGGAGCACAGCTCAAGTTTGGTGCAAATGGCCTGACAGAGCATGAGGGGCAGGAAGCAAGAGGAGAACAGGGGTCCCAGGAATCTGCCCTCAGTGTCCCCTAGTGTGTGCCTCCCGTCCTGAGGATTTGGTGTCTTCCCCTGCACAGGCATACCAATTAAACTAATTAAATTACCGAATGAAGAGCCTCACATTGGTTTTACAGTAGTACAAAAATCAGTAGCAGCAATATACATCATTTGGAATACAGTACCTTCATAAATTAAGAACACTTTCCTTCAAGTTCTTTAATCACTTGACATGATACAATAATGAAAAGAAGGAAAAAGTATACTGGCTGCTGTGAAAACTTTGCTTATTGAAAATAAATCACTCCACAGCTAATTTTCTCCTCTTGTGGAAGGTCCTAAAAAAACACTTGAATCATTTAATGTTCCTTTCCACAGTAAACACTACTGAGGCCCAAAGCTCCGCCAGCTCAGAGCTGTGTGACTGTGTCTCCAGGGGTGTGGCCGCCTCTGAGGAGTGAATGCTGCATTGCAGGGGCTTGGCTGGGGCTGCAGCTTCGAAGTGTGGCTGTAGGAGGGTCTGCATCCGCACAGGCATGGCTGTCTGTGGGGAGAGGGCTGCAGCCAAGGTGTCTGAGCCCAGTGCACCTTTCTAATTGATGAACCCTGGAAGAGGACAGCCTCACTCCTAGGGTGAGGAGGCTGGTACAGGACAGCTCCTGGTCAGCCTACTTCTCAGTCCACTCTGAGAAAAGGCAGGTATGTCTGTGGTGGATAGCGCAGGGTGGGCTGTGCCTCCACCCCCACACCAGGCAAAGGCACAAGAATCTGACCCTGTATCCCTTCAGATGGGATTTGCAACATGTGAATTTGGGTAGAAGCTTCTAGAACATCCAACCCAACAGGATAGTTTGTAATTCCTTTCATACCCTCGTAAATAATCTCTGAACCTGTACCAGAGTTGCCCTCCCTGTGCTGTGTCCAGGGAAGGTAACTAGTGAGCATGCTTCTGAGTGCCTTGGGGTGGGGGGAGGCGCTATCCTTGCTGCAGTCTTCAACTGGGCCACCCTGCAGAGCCTCCTGCCCTCTCCTCCACAGGACACCCTCTCACACCAGGCCCTGCAACCAGCCCCCAGGTGAAGGAGAGGCCATCTCTTCTACCTGCACTCCAGGCTGTTCTGCTTATTCCTGCATTGCTGTGTTGTTGACTTTTCACCCATCCTGCAAAACAGTTTGAAACTGTCCTTTGTCCCTCAAAAAAGAGACCTGTGCTGGGGTGAGTCCTCGCTCCCTTTTCTCTCAGAGCATGCTTCTTGCTGTACAGTGCACAGCAGGTTGGGGGCGTGGCCAGAGCACCGACCTCATTGCAGAGTGGCCTGAAAGGCCACTGAGTTGGGCACCACCCCATGAGGGCCTGGGCCACTCGGATAGTACCAGTGCCCAGTGCCTGGGCAACTGGCAGAGGAGACTACTCTTTGAGGGTGTCGCGGGGGCACCCCAGGAAGCACAGGAAAGTGCCTCTGTGCTGTGGTAGGGCTGCCCCCCAGGAGCTAACCAAAGAGACCTGGTGTGTGGGGTCTTTTCTCCTATTTTCCAATATATAGGAAAGATTGAAAACTCCCAGAACTACACAGTGGCTCACCCCTTCCTGTGCAGGCCACCTCTGGGCCTCCAGTCTCTAGGTTGTCCTCCCCCTTTGCTAGCTTTTCATGTGTCCATAGCAAGCCAAATCCTCTGCACCCCATCTCCACCCTCTCTTCATTAACCCTGGAGCTAAAAGGCACTACTCCTCTCCCTCTCCCAAAAGGCTTAGATCTCACTAGTGGACAGGTGATGCCCCCAAGCTCCCCTCTGCAGCCTAGATTACTGTGTAGCTGGCTGCTTGTCTCCCCTGATGTCCACCATCCTTCTAGATGCACCCATCACAAACCAGAACCTGAGAACTGTTCTCACCCTGCAGACCCTTTACCTATGAAGTGCCCCCTATCACTGCCCTGGTTGTGCAGCCACCTCTCAGTGGGCAAGACTCAGCTAGCTAACCACCCAACCACAGTGATCTTTCCAAAATACATATCAGACCATGTGTCCCTCTGGCTTAAAACCTTTCCCAGGTGTCCCAGTGTGGACACTGCTAAATCTCCAGACAGAGCTTTTCTTTCCTCTATAATTCCTGATGTTCCTCAGACCTCAGCTAACTTCAAAGGGGCCATGACCTTGAAGAATAAAAACAGTATCAGTATTTGCTTTTCATCAGTATAATAAAACTTATGTTCCTAAACCTCTTGCACTTTACATCAGATATGAACAACTATGCTTAAATGTTTGTAAGCTAAATTGCAATAACAAGCAGTTTTTGTTCAGTTCTTCATGGTTTACCTAAAGCTTTCATCTTTGTTGTTTTTAATGAGATTTAATCCTCATTAGCAAGTATGTGAGTTGGTATCACCAGAAGCATTCAAGCTCCCAGCCCCCAGAATTCCTACTCCAAGGACCCAGATAGCAGGCACTTTCCCACGGTCCTGGACACCAGACTCCACGCTAACCCCTATAAGTAAATATCAGGCACTGTATTTCCTAGGCGGTTTAGGTTACGGTGGACTGCCTTGTATTCAGGAGATAACTGGCCACAACTGATAACAGCCTCCTGTTTGCTTTACCTCAGAATCACTGCATATTGTGGAGTTGTCACATCCCCGAATTGTTCAAAGGGTCACCTGCGGAGCTTCAGGAGCAGCCAGTTCTGTGTGGTGGAATGCTAGGCACCTGCCCTGGACCCCTGAGCACCTAGCCCAGCCAGGCCTGGGTCTGTAACTCCAAGAATGTCCACACAGAGGGAAGCTTGTGCTTAATATCCATATCCTTGGAAGGAGCTAGCGACATCTAATCCATTAATTCCGCTGTGTGTGGCCAGAGTGAAAAGAAGGGCTCTGAGGGATTTAATGTCCCCGCCCCAGCGCATTCCATTCCACAGAAACGCCTGACTAGCGCTCACGTGTGTGAAGCCAGTGGTGGGAGGAGATGCCGCCCTGCAGTTCAAGCAGAACATTCGCGGTCTGAACACGTCCAAATGCCCCCTCAGTATCCCCCATGGCCCACCCTGGGGTGAGGGGCCTGGTTTGTCCTGGGAACCTGCCTTTCAGTGAGCCAGTCCCGTTAAATCTAGAAAATGCCTGGTTTGGTAATGAGCGCCCTGTGCTCACACCAGCTATTCACTTTCCCCTCCATTAAGCAACAACTCAACACAGCCTTTTTAAAACCCTACCTGCTCCCCAGATCAGACAGGATAGCTCCTCACCTGCTCTCTCCCCACTGGCCTGAAGACTTGATCTTTCTCCAAAAGTGAAGTTGTAAGGTACAAACTGATAGCTCCTGAACGGTGAGTGTAGAGCAGTACACAGAGTAAGGAAAACTCTGCGGGTGCCTGATGGGCGTGGGCACCCGGAGGCGGGGCGAGCCCTCCTCCGCACTTCGCGGCCTGGCCACGCCCACAGTCGGCACCGCTGGGAGACTCGCCCAGACCCAGGGCTGCCTGCCATGAAGACGAGAGGGCTTTCTCAACCCCAAGATATGCGGGAAATGGAGAAGAAAGGCTCTCTTGGTAGAAGGCCAGACCCTCTCTGAAAGCGAACAGTCTGCTTGCCGTACCTATTCCAAGGTCTAGTTTATAGAAGGTAGCCAAGTACCTATAACAGGGTTTTTTTTTTCCTGTGAAGGAGATTTGGAAAAACAAACTGAGTGAATATTTTGCCTACTTTTTTCTCTTCTTCATTTTAAGAGTTCTCAGCTAGAACTGATAAACCTGACCAGAACCTTCTATATTCTCATTGTCCGTTCCCCCCTCAAGCCTAGGGCTATGGCCAATGTTACATTTGTGGAAGTCTCACCCTTTCTTTCATACAACACACGCAAAGAGATATAAACACAGAGACACACAAACACATGCACAGATGCATCAGACACATAAACAGACACACAGTCACATAAACACTGGTACAGATAAGTACACACACGGCCACCAGCACACCACACAGACACTTACACACACATAGACACATAAACTACATACTGACACAAACACACAAGGAAATACAGGCACACATATAGACACACACACATACAGGACACAAACTACACAGACACACACATATGACAAGCATACACTATACACAGATGCATTAACCACAGACAGAAACAGGGACACACACAGAAACACACAGAAATATAAATGGACACACAGAGAGCCACATAAGGACACACATATCAACACACATGCACAGACACACTCAAGACACAGAACCTACATAACAAACACATAAACTACACAGACACAGACACCCAGACCTGCAGTGGACCAGGCGGCTCAAGTGGGGTCTTAGCTCACCCCACCCCAAGCACTGCCCAAGGATTGGCAGGAAGTTAGAGGCTCTTAGGTCCTTCACCATGTAACAGGCAAAACCCAAAAGTTCTCTTTCTGGAAAATGTCTCTTTAAACCTCTCTAGGAGAATTGTTTCTTCATGGAGTCTGGCTATGCTAGGTATTTGGGAGGCACAGACTTTACAACAGGCACATTGCATAGGACATAGTGTGGTCAGACTACCCAGGACCAGGAACCAGGTATCTAAAGAGCTTCTGGGCCTCCTAGAGCATGGTCGGCACTGTCACACTGCAGTCCCCGTGCTGGCCACAATAACCAGAGAGCCCAAGTTCTCTACAATAAGATCCAGTACGGCATTTCAGACACTTCATATCATATCACTATGCACATTGGGTGTGAACACAGTTCACATATGCTATGCTTGGTGACTCCATCCATGTGGGTCAGGGCACTACAGAGCCTGTGAACACAGCAGAAATGCTGGCTCATCCATGGTCATCCCTGAGCCTGCCCATCTTCCTCCAATGCCTCAAGAAACACCAATACAAGATACAGTGTCAAGAGGGGGCCCAGAGCATGAATATACAGGCACCCTGAATGGTTGAAAAGTTCTGGGTTGCTGCTGCCTTTACAGAATGGCATCCACACCTGAGGTACCTTGGTGTGAAGGCCAAAGGGTCCAAATTAGGATCATGAAACATAAGGAGTGCAACCAGGCCAAACACGTGGTGCCTAGTGGCTGTTACTAATGTGCACTTACTGACTTTAAGCCTGCCCAGCAGCATTGACTGCATCCTTCCTTCTCCCTCACTCATCACAAGCCCCTAATATCTGTGGTGGGATCAACTATCCCCTTCCATTCCAGGAATGGGTGCATGTGGCCTAAATTATGGAGGAAATCCCATCCCTGCCAGAGATTGGTATCTACATGTCCCAAACCACATGATAACAAAGCCCCCACAGTGCAGGTTTCCACACTGGATCAGGTGTGAATTACTCCATCTCTGGGCTCCTTAGTTATTGCCAAACCATCCTCTTGGTTGTTGAAGCCAGGTCCAATTTGGTGTTCCTTTCATACAGTTAAGAATGAGGATTGGATGCAGATTATGTTACTGGAAGCCTGCGGCATAATTCATGGTGCTGGTGCTATACCATGGAGAGGTTCTGAATTTCTTCAGTCAGAAGCAATTGGGGACAGTCTCAGAAATGATGGATTCCTGAGCTGGGCAGAAAGATTTCACCAAAATCTAACCATACAGTCACAGTTTTCTTGGATGACTCAGGAAATTCCTGAGGAAATTCCAAAATAGGAACTTTCTAAATATTCTTAGCAAAGAATAGTATCATTAAAGGCTAACAGTTGCTATTTTCAAGTATATACAGTAATTGAGAGGGGTCTGGATGACTTTGTCAGTTAAGCGTCTGACTTCGGCTCAGGTCATGATCTCAGGGCTTGTGAGTCCGAGCCCCATGTCGGGCTCTGTGCTCACAGCTCAGAGCTTGGATCCTGCTTCAGATTCTGTCTCTCCATTTCCCTCTGCCCCTTCCCAGTTTGTGTGTGCTCGTGCCCCTCTCTCTCTCAAAACTAAATAAAAAATTTTTTAAAAAGTATACAGTACTTGAACGTATAAAATCCAACACACCTTAATAAAATCCCTTTGCTTACATTATATAAATAGTGTTGAGTTTTATATGGATGTGCAGATGTGCATATTTTCTGCATTTGTGGGTGATCCAGTGAAGTGCCCCTGGCTTCTCACACTCAACAGACAGGTGTGACTCAGAGTGCTCTCCATCCTAGTCCTCCATACCCACTTCACATGGAAACCTGTCTGCAATTCCCCTTTGGAAATCCTACCTTCTCTCAGGGGTCCCTGTGGCCAGCCACTGTGCAGGCCTCTCTGGCCACCAGCCTTGGCCTGCTCTGACTGCATAGGCTGCACATCCTGTTCCCCCACTGTTGCCCACAGGTGGTTCAATTTGCCCAGCCTGTGCACTGACCCCTAAAAGATTAGGAGAGAGGGGACATTGGGCAGACAGGCAGGGCATCTTTCTTTTATGTCTCTTAGCCCAGCCCAGAGAGTGACCTGAGAAAGAATAAAAATCAAATGCAGACTCACATGGGTTCTCTTTACTGCTGTGTAACAAACCACCCCAAGTTTAGTGGCAAAAATAGAAACCATTTATCAGGCTCCTAGGTGCCATGGGTCTTAGAACTTAGAAAGGCACAATGGAAATAGTTCATCTGGGCCCCAGTATAGCCAAGGTGGCACAAAGGCAGGAAGCAACTTGAGACTGGGGACTGGAAGCATCTGGAGGTGCCATCACTCACTTCTGTTGTGGGACTGCCTGCCCTGCCATGTGGCTTCTGCCCTGACTCTTGGACTTGCTCACAGCGTGGTGGCTGGGGCCCAAGGGACAAGAAGTGGAAGCTGCCAGTTCCTTGAGACTTGCACCCAGGACTGGCCAGTGTCACTTACATCATACTCCACTGGTCAAGCAGTCATGAGGCCAGGTTCAAGAGGGACACAGTCTCCAATTCTTGATGGAAAAATGTCAAAGAACATTAGAGCCATGTTTAAATTGCCACAGACTGCATCCTAGCCAAGGATGTAGCAAGGAAACAATGAAGCCATTATGCAAGCAATGGGAAGAATACTGGGATTCAAGTCTGCACTTTATTTTTTTACTTAGGGCATTGAGAGAGAGAGAGTGAGAGCAAGAGCGAGAGCGAGAGCGAGAGAGAGAATGAGGGGTAGAGAGAGGGAGAGAGACAATCTCAAGCACGCTCCACACTGTCAGCTCAGAGCCTGGCACTGGGGTTTGATCTCACAAACCATGAGATCATGACCTGAACCAAAATCAAGAGCTGGTCACTTAATTGACTGGGCCACTCAGGGACACCTTTCAAACCTGCACTTTAAAGGCATTTTGAAATGTAATGAGTTGTGGAGCAACAGGTTCTCTCATTGCTTATGGGAATGCAAAATGGTACAGCCACTTTGGAAAGCAATTTGGCAGCTTCCTACATAACTAAACATACTCTTACCATACAATCTAGCAGTTGCATTCCTTGCTAAGGTAAGTACCCAAGGGAGTTCAAAACTTACATTTACACAGAACCCTGCACACAGATATTTATTCATAGTTGTCAAAACTTAGAAACAACCAAAATGTTCTTCAGTGGATGAATGCATAAATAAACTGGTATATTTAGAAATGGAATATTATTCAGCACTAAAAAGAAATGAGCTATCAAGCCATGAAAAGACATGAAAGAACCTTAAATTGATTGATAAGTGAAAGACACCATTCTAAAAAGATTCCATTCTGGAAAAGACAAAACTATGGAGACAACGAAAAGATCAGGGGTTTGGGAGAGGGAGAGAAAAATAAGTAAGTAGACAGAGCACAGAGGTTTTTTTTAAGGTAGTAAAACTATTCTGTGTGATACCACAATGATAAATACATTGGTCGCAACAAATGTACCACTCTGGTGGGGGCAATGCCTGTATGGGAATAAGGAGGTAAATAGGAAATGTCTGTACCTTCTGCGCAATTTTGCTGTAAATATAAAATTGCTCTAATAAAACTATTTTTTTATGTAGTGAGCTAGAGGGGAAATTCATTGTGCAGATTCTATTGTATCCCTAATGTATAGGGGAAAAAAACCTCTGAAAAGTGGCTGGGATGAGGCCCTGAAGCGGAGAAGGGCCTGCTCCTCACACCCACTCACCCATGAGGACAGTGTCCTTGAGACTCACTGCCAGCAATAGGTCTAGCCCACCCTAGCCCTGGTGAGGCAAAGGGGCAACGCCCAGAGTCCTGCACTTGTGCTGGCTTCACCAGGACCAATGTATCAACTACAGGTTTTCCTGTGCCCTGCACTGAGACTGGGATGTTACTGCTTTGAGAAATCACGGTCCATTCCTCTAAGGGCCTCTTTCCACCCAAGCCAACTAAAAGAGGAATGATGGTAAGGGGCCCCAGGCACTGGTGCCTCCACTGGGCATG